CAGACAATGGACCCCGGACTAGGTGCGTTCCAATTAGTCTTCCTACCAATATGACCATGTTGCGAAAATAGGTTCAAACAACCTCAAATTTTCCCAGCTTACCATCCAATCTCATCTTATCTCTTAACATCTTAACTTAATTAAATGCATCTCGTTACTTATCATCTCATTTGGGCTGTTCTGATCCCATATTATATCTTCACTTATAGTCTGATTCCCTCGCATCCCATTTCACCAATGCTGATCCCAACTCTTCTCATCATATCTCATATAATTTCAATGTCAAGCCTTTCCTAGTCTTATCTCATCATCTATCAAAATATCTCATATCATACCACTTATGGTCATATTCCCTCTAATCTCTCATGTCCTATCTAACTCCGTATTCTTACCGATCTCAAACTAACTCATCTCATCTCGCCTCTCCCCCTCATCTACTGTCAAATCTTCCCGGCTATCTCATCATAACTGAGAATATTTCGCCTTATATCATGTTTTCATTTATCGTCCGATTCCCTCTCACCTCAAATTACATCAACTCAATTCGTCTTATCACACATGATCTAGTGTCATCGCACCTCAAGCCATACGTCCTATGCTCCTCATATTATTTCATTCCATCTGACTGCTTCCTATCCCAACTCGACTCATTTCCTCTCAGCCCACCTAACCTAACCCTTTATAGTCTCACTCTGTCATGTTTTCCCTTATTTCCTTATCTTATCCCATCTCACTCCGCCATTTCTTATCTTAGCTCGTTTCATCTCAAACCAAATGTAAGATCATCTTATCTGATCACATTTCACCATAAGTTTCCTTACCTAGCTTTTATCTTACCATCTCATAATATATTAGTTAGTAACATATAATTTATCTATTCTCTTGTATCTTCACCTCATGGCATGTAGGCCTGTGCAGAAGAGTCAGTTTGCGAAAGCACCCGTCCAATCCTTTTGGTCCGGTTTAATTATATAAGGACAAGCACGGCTAGCTCAGTGCAATCTCGTACCGCTTTGTTAATGAATCTCACCCAGAGGGCACGCCTGAGCAGAGAAATATTTAAACCCCAATGTCCACCTATCTACATATTTTTTTCGATGAGCACATAAATGTATGTATACGCGTTGCTAATGCGGTACTAGCAAGAATAAGTTCCAACTATGGGGATGTCAATTACATGGTGGACGGAAGCTTAGCCCGTCGACGTGAACGCCGTATTTGCGCTAAATGACCACTGTATACCTGGAATTAACCGTCGCCCGATGAGATGGACCCATGAATCTCATTACCCACTCCAATGCGAAATGAAAGTCCCATCAGCAACAGTATACCAGGGCATACACCGAAAGCCGCCTTTTCTTTGTACATACATCATCTCTACCATCTAAGCACTACAGCGGGACAATTCATCTGGATTTACCTCATTTCCTAATTTTATCCTATCTCCATTTTATCCTTTTTCTAGTTTCTTTTGGTCTCCACCCTAGCTCCTATCTCAAGGCCACCCCAGGCCAGTTTGCTCATTGCATATTCCCGTGCCCAACATTGACAAAACCAACTTATGAGCGACCGGTAGAAAGAAAACGTACAAGTCGATATAAAGAGTAACCGGGTTTCGATTAATCTCCTGAGCTAACAAGATCCTGCCCTATGTTTAAAGCCAATCAAAAATTAATCAAGCCGGCTATATGGCTGGCATATTTCCATAAACAGAGTGGTGATTACGTACGACACTTGAACTTGCCACGAACTAAGCTGTCCCGACCCAAGTAAATTAGGCTTAAATTGCATTTAAATACAAACAGCGGATAAGAATCGAGCAAGATCTCGCACTCAACGCACAGGTACGAGGCCCAGGAAGGTCTCACAGATAAGATAAGGAACAACGGCTAAAATTAGTAGGCAACCATTAAGCAACTGCCATCTGCTCCTGACTGACAAATAATTCGTAGAGTTATCAAAAGGTGTTAAGATATCGAAGTCAAATTTTATATATGATTTTGATAGAAATAATTAAACAATGGTAGAATCAACCAATATAGAATAGGCTAACTCTTCAATACATCAGCCTGAGCAACTAGCACACGCTTCCGGATCATTTAGACTACAAACCATTGCCTCAATATTGCGTTTGCGAATTTCAGCCATGATGAGCTGATGCTCTTGTCCCTCTTCAGTAGCATTCACAGAATGAGAAGCTGTATATGATGACTTATCGATCTTTTCGTCACAACGGTCTGACAGAATTGATAGTTTATGTAATCCATCATTTAATTGATCATCGGAACGACTTCGATCGTCAAGACTACGACCTTGGGCCATACTGACTCGACCCTTATCAATAGTGAACTGGATTGGATCGGCTGCAGGACGAGTTCGTAGATAGTACATACCAGTTTTGAGGCCCTGAAAGGCAAGTTTCATCATGAAGTAAAATGAATATGGCTTGAATAAAGTTAGATAAAGTTATGAAATGTAAAATAACGAGAGAAACTTTAGCACCAATATTGTTCAGGCTAACAGATGGAAATATGAACAAAACACCAATAGAAGACACCTTTTTCCAGGCAAAAAAATGCATGCTTGTTATCTTTCCGTAGTTAGGTTGAGCCAAGTGGAGATTA